ATCCCACAACCGGAAAAAAAAAAAAAAAAAAAAAAGATGTATGAGCTTTGTCCCTTGTGCTGTCACTGGGTGGATCTGTGCTCTGTACCTCCATCTGTCTCCCTCCCTCCTGAGCTCAGTTACTTCTTTATTCATGTGCTTTTCTCGACATACCTGCTCAGGTGTGCCTAGACCTTGTTCTTAAGGAATCAGTAGTTGCTTAAAAGGGTTTTGAGGATTAGGTTCATTCATTCCTGATTCCCTCCTTGCTTTTCTTTTCTTCGTCCCTTTCTGCTCCTTCCCCTTCCTTTCTATCCGTTTTGATTCCCTTTCCTTTTAAAAATAAATGTTTCTTTTTTTCCTTGAATCTTTTCTGTGTCTGGGCTGTTGTACACTGGAGGGCCTGGTGTGAAAAATTCCATTTTTCTTTTGGAAGCTGATATCCCCACACATTGAACAAGGCCCCCCCCCCCCCGCCAGCTGCTGCCCCCTGCCCCTTCAGTCCTCCGAGGCCTCTCCTGACTGACCAGGTGCCCCTGTTGCCTGCCCCTACACAGGCCCAGTTTGACTTGGCCTTCGTTGTCCGATACAAGCCGGATGAACAGCCCTCCCTGATGCCACACCATGACGCCTCCACCTTCACCATCAATATCGCCCTGAACCGGGTCGGGGAGGACTATGAGGTGAGAGGGCCACCTGGGGCGTGGGAGGGGTCTGGAGGGAGCACTGAGGCTGGCTGGTAAGCAGTATACTGGGTGGTGATGGCAGACAGGCTCTGACTCAGTGACAGGGCTAGAAAGCCAGAGAAAAGCAATGCTATAAGCGCATGGAGGGCTTCCAGGCAGGTGGGATCAGGGCACAAGTTATCAGGAGGGAGAGACTCCAAAGGGAGCAGAGCACAAACTGCAAAAGGTTCAGGGCCAAAGTGCTGATTCTGAATCCTTCCTTCCACTATACCAGTTTCTTGTGCACGTACTAGGACTTGAACTCAGGGCCTGGGCACTGCCCTTTAGGTTTTTTGCTCAAAGCCGGTACTCCACCACTTGAGCCACATCTCCACCTCTGGCTTTTTAGTGGTTAACTGGAGATAAGAGACTCGTGGAAGCTGGGCTCCAGTGGCTCATGCCTGTAATCTTAGCTACTTAGGAGGCTGAGATCAGAGGATGGCGGTTCAAAGCCAGCCCGGCCAGGAAAGTCCATGAGACTCTTATCTCCAATAAACCACTAGAAAACCGGAAGTGGTGCTGACCTTGAGCTGAAGACCGCAGGGACAGCACCCAAGCCCAGAGTTCAAGCCCCACGACCGACCAAAAAAAAAAAAAAAAAAGAGACTCATGGAGGGGCTGGGAAGGTGGCTCAGTGGTAGAGCACTTGCCTAGCATGCTTGAGGCCCTGGGTTCCATTCCTCAGCACCACATAAATAGAAAAAGCCAGAGGCAGTGCTGTGCCTCAGGCACTAGAGCACTAGCCCTGAGCTGAAGAGCTGAGGGACAGCACCCAGGTCCAGAGTTCAGGCCCCATGACCAAAAAAAAAAAAGAGAGAGAGAGAGACTCATGGATTCCTCTGCCAGGGTGGCTTCAAACTGGAGTCCTCAGATCAGCCTCTCAATAGCTAGGATTACAGGTGTGAGCCACCAGTGCCAGGAAGCCCTTCTGTCTCTTGATGTGTGCAGAGTTAGGAAAACAAATGAGATCACAGGTCTTTGCTCACAGGGAGCCCAATAAGCATTTGAGGAATGCCCGCTGCTGGTATGAGGAGCCTGGGGTTTTCCTTACGTGGGGTGTGGCAGGGTGCTTCTGGCTTAGGATACAGGGCACAGGCTTGGGCTGAAGGAAAGAGCTGGGGAAGGACACCAGGGTGGGGCAGGAGCAGTTCTGGAGTTTCTGCATATGGTGAGTGAGGGAGCTGCTGGCTCTGCCTCCATTTCCTCCTTAAGTTTCTAGTTTTGGACTTGGCCCAGGCCCAGGCCCAAGTGCAATGAAGGATCCCTTACAGCAGTTGAGAACTTAGGGAGGGCTTGTGAGCATCAGGTGTTGCCCTGAGCTGGGAATCTCAACAAAGAGAGATTTTTTTTTTTTGGGTCCATCAGGGGCTTGAACTCTGGGCCTGGGCACAGCTCTTCAGCTCAAGGCTAGTGCTCTACCACTTGAGCCACAGTGCCACTTCTGGCCTTTTCTGCTTATGTGGTACTGGGGAATTGAACCCAGGGCTTCATGCATGCTAGGCAAGCACTCTACCACCGAACCACCTCCCAGCCCAGGAGAGATTTTTTTACCCCCAACCCAGGAGCACATTGATAATGTCCCCTGGAATTGTCACTGCTGTGAGGGTACCGTTGGCATGTAGTGGGGAGGGGCCCAGGATGTCAGGATACCGCCACAACAGTAGGTAAGGATTGAGTAAGTAGTAAGTAGGTAGTAAGTAAGTAGGTAGGACTGAATGAACTTTTTATTTTTTGTCAGTCATGGGACTTGAACTCAGGGTCAGGGGTACTGTCCCTGAGTTCTTTTTGCTTAAGGCAAGCCCTCTACCACTTGAGACATAGCACTACTTCTATTTTTCTGGTGGTTAATTAGAGATGAGTCTTATGAACATTCCCTCCTGGGCTGGCTTTGAACCATGATCCTCAGATCTCAGCCTCCTAAGTAGCTAGGATTACAGGCGTGAGTTACCAGCTTATTGTTTTGGACCTGTACTGGGGTTTGTGCTCTTGCTTTCTTCCTCTTGTTTGGCTGGTGCTTTACCACTTGACCCATGCCTCCATTTGGTGTTTTTTTGCCAGTTAATTGGAAATGGAGCTTCTTCGACTTTTCATCCCCAGGCTGGCTTCCAACCATGATCTTCCAAGGCTCAGCCTCCTGAGCAGCTGAAATTACGGGCATGAACTACTGGTGTCTGGCTTAAGCTTTTCTATTAATTAATTAGGATTGGAGGTGTGGCTCAAGTGGTAGTGTTGCCAGTCCATGAGTGAAAGTATCAGATAGTGAGTTCCAGTCCTGGTCTCAGGAAAAAAAAAAAGAAAGAAACTTAGGCTGGGTGCCAGTGGCTCACGCCTGTCATCCTAGCTACTCCGGAGGCTGAGATCTGAGGATCACAGTTCAAAGCCAGCCTGAGCAAAGAAAGTCGGTGAGACTCATTTCCAATTAACCACCAGAAAACCAGAAGTGATGCTGGGGCTCAAGTAGTAGTGCTGTCACCTTGAGCTGAAGAACTGAGGGACAGCACGTAGGCCCAGAGTTCAAGCCCCATGACCAACAACAACAACAAATTTTTAAAATATATATTTACGTGCTTGCTTATTTACTCATTCATCCATGCATTCATTCAGCTGGGGATTAAACCCCCTGCATGCTAAGCAAATCCTCCTACCACTGAGCCACCCTCCACTCTTACTGTCTCATTTTACTTTTCACAACTCTCCAGAGGCTCAATTGGTCACACCCTTAGTAAGGGCTGACTTAAAGGCCAGATGCAAGGTCTTAGCCTTTGGTAGTATCTTCCAGAGGCAGCCGGCTGCCACCAGTCCCTCCTTAGTCCCTCCCAGGCCAACTGAACAGAGTACAGCATAGGTAACAATCCTAAGAAAGCACAGCGTTGGGAAAGGCCCAGCTTCCCTGAGGCACTGATGACTCCTCTCTTCCAGGGTGGTGGCTGTCGCTTCCTGCGTTACAACTGCTCCATCCGAGCCCCACGGAAGGGCTGGGCCCTCATGCACCCAGGACGGCTCACTCACTACCACGAGGGACTCCCCACCACTCGGGGTACCCGCTACATCGCCGTGTCCTTTGTGGATCCCTAACCAGCAGCCTCACTCCCTCGGGCCTTTCTTCTGCAGATGACCACTGCTCACCAGCTCTGAGGGCCTCGCGGCCCCAGGAGTCTTGGTCCAGCCTTGGGGCTCTTGACTGACAGTTGCTTTCAGAATTGCCAGATGGAAGGATTGGCACAAGCCAGAGATGGAGCCCCCCTCTGAGGCTGGGAGCCTTTCTGTGGTCTCCTGCCCAGCTTTGGGAGACCAATCACCTTGATCCTCCCCAGCTGTCTTCCTGGAACACACACTTCACTTTTTCTGACTCTCTCATGGGGAGAGACTTGACAGCTCCCAGAACTGTCCAGAGAGACTCCACACAGGCAGAAGTCAGCTGGTGGCAGAACTTCCTGCCACCCCACTGGCTTCTGCTTCCAGCTTCCACAGAGACCCATGCAAAACCCAGCCCCCTCTGAGCCCAGGACCACCGAGGCCCCTTCTGCCAGGCTCCCATCACCAAAGCACACTATTGTCTCCTGGAGACAGTAGCTCAGACTTTTCTCCTGGGGGACAAGAAAAGCATCCATGTCCCAGCTCCATCCTATACTTGATCCTTGCTGGGGAGAGGAGTGACCTGTCCACATTGCACTGGGTGACCCTGTCCCCCTGCCTCTGGAGGAGGGACAGAGACAGGAGAATTCTATTAAAGGTCGTTCAAACCACTGAGTTGGGAGCTGTATGCACCTGTCCGGGCAGGTGTCTAAGGGGGACAGATTCCCAAACCCAGGACCATGTGACCGCTGCAGTGTGTGTGTGTGTGTGTGTGTGTGTGTGTGTGTGTGTGTGTGATCATGTGTGTATTCCTGTGAGCCAGGGCACACAGCCTCATCCAGGAAAACCTGAATCGCAGTTACCTGCCCTCTAGAATCCTGGCTGACTACCTTACCAGTAACTGTGAACATGGGAGGAGAAGAGAACTTCCGGAGGCCTCCACCACGCCCCTGAACATTGTCCTGGCAATCCGTCTCAGGGCTTGAACTCTGAGCCTGGGCACTGTCCCTCAGCTCTTCAGCTCAAGGCTAGAGCTCTAGTGCTTGAGCCACAGTGCCACTTCAGTTTACTGGTGATTAATTGGAGATAAGAGTCTCACAGACTTTCCTACCCAGGCTGGGCTTTGAACCCCAATCCTCAGGTTTCAACCTCGTGAGTAGCTAGGATGACAGGTGCGGGCCATGGATGGCCAACTTACTTCCTTTTTACAATTGAGGAAACAGGCTCAGAGAGGCTATGTAATTGGCCAAAGTTCACACAACAATGTGCTGTCAGGGTACTGGTTAGTAGTGGAGGGTGGAGCAAAGAGCTAAATATAGATTTTGTGGGCTGATAAATGGCATGACTAGCCAGGTCCTGTGGCTTATGCCTATAATCCCAGCCAACTTGAATTTTTTTTTTGGGGGGGTCCAGTCATGGGGCCTGAACTCGGCCTGGGCGCTGTCCCTCAGCTCTTCAGCTCAAGGCTACCACTTGAACCACAGCACCACTTCCGGCTTTTTTTTTTTCTGCTTATGTGGTGCTGAGGAATTGATCCTAGGGCCTCATGCATGCAAGGCAAGCGCTCTACCACTGAGCCACCTTCCTAGCCCTGAATTTTTCTTAACCCAATCCAACTTCCCCTGAAAATAGGCTGCCTTTCAAGAGATCTAAAATTTTTACTTTATGTGAGAAACACACCTATCCAAGCTCAAAAGATGAGGATAGGAAAGGCAGCCAAGAGTTTCATGACAGTCTTACAAGATGGGTATCTGATGGCAGGCACACACTGAGATTATGGACAGCTTTATCTCTAGTGCCTGAAGATTCCTCCTCTAGTTCTCATTGGTCTGAGTTCTGTGGGAATCACATTCTTTCCTAGATGTTGACAAGTCACATTGCCTTCTGGGTAATTTGAATAAAGGCACCTTTTGAGGTTGGATGAATTTTAGAATTTTCCACCTGACCTTTGTGCTTTTATGCTTTCTGGCATGTACACAGTTCCTACCCAATTTATCATTTTATTGCTATTTATTCTCCCTGCTAATCGTCACCCTTCTAATTGCTCCTGTTTATCTGTAGGGTTTTCCAATGGACTCTTGTTATGGCTGCAAGCAAGCTATAGGTAAATTTCCATTCAGAACCAAATGCTTTGTCTTGAAAACAAACCACCTCAGACTTCTAATACTTCATTACTCAAATTAAGCACATTCACTTTTTCTATGTGAGTGTGTGTGCACATGTATGCCCGAACTGGGGTGTGAACTCAGGACCTGGGCACAGTTCCTTAGCATTTTCTCTCTAGGCTGGTGCTCTACACTTGCCATACCTCCACTTCTGATATTTTGCTGGTTAATTTGAGATGAAGTGTTGCAGACTTCTCTGTCCAGGCTGGCTTTGAACCTTATTTCTCAGATCTCAGCCTCCTGAATAGCTCAGATGTACAGATGTGAACCATCATGTCCACCTAAGCACATCCACTTTACACTGTACTTTGGGTATCATTTTTTTAATGTATTTTTTTTTTTGCTGGGCGCTGGTGGCTCATGCCTGTAATCCTACCTACTCATGAGGATGAGATCTGAGGATTGAGGTTCAAAGCCAGCCTGGGCAAGAAAGTCTGTGAGATTTTTTTTTTTTTTCGGTCATGGGGCTTGAACTCTAGGTATAGGCCCTGTCCCTCAGCTCTTCAGCTCAAGGTGAGCGTTCTACCACTTGAGCCACAGTGCCACTTCTGGTTTTCTGGTGGTTTATTGGAGATCAGGGAGGGTCTGACGGATCTGATCTGATTCTCAGATCTCAGCCTCCTGAGTAGCTAGGATTACAGGCGTGAGCCACCAGCGTCCAGCCCAAGGGACTCTTAATTTCTACTTAACCACCAGAAAACCATAAGTGGTGCAGTAGTTCAAGTAGTAGAGTGCTAGCCTTGAGCTGAAGAGCTGAAGGACAGCACCCAGGCCCAGAGTTCAGGCCCCATGACCGGACCCAAAAAAAAAAAAGAAAGAAAAAGAAATGTACTCATTATCTTGCCCATGTAATTGTAACCCCTCTGTACAGTATTTTCACAATAAAAAAATTAAAAATAAATAAAAATTTAAAAACAGGGACCAGGCTGGGAAGGTGGCTCAGTGGTACAGTGCTTGCCTTGCATGCATGAGGCCCTGGGTTCTATTCCTTAGCACCATATAAGCAGAAAAAGCCAGAAGTGGCTCAAGTGGTAGAGTGCTAGCCTTGAGCTGAAGAGCTGAGGGACAGAGCCCAGGACCAGAGTTCAAGCCCTGTGACTGGCAAAAAATATTTTTTTAATTTTTTATTAAGTAGTTTTACAAAGGTGTTTCAATTTCACAAGTCAGGTAATGAGTACAATGTGCCTTGATTGATGTCACCCCTTTCTTATTTCTCCCTTATCTTTCCCCATTTCATTCATACCTTTGAGTTGCTATACCTTTGAGTTGCTATTTTTTACGTAAAGTACATTGAGTATAATGATTTACTCATTCTATTCCTCTACTCATGTGTCCCCCTTTTGTTTTCCTCTCTTACCCACCCCCCCACATAGAACATGTGTCAGCTTCATTTTGTGTGTTTGTTTTTTTTTTTTTTGGTCGGTGGTGGGGCTTGAACTCTGGGCCTGGGCGCTGTCCCTCAGCTCTTCAGCTCAAGGCAAGCGCTCTACCACTTGAGCTACAGCGCCACTTCCGGTTTTCT